TCCAGGGCGTCCCGGTGATGGGCGTCCAGCTTTTGAAAGGAGACGATCAGGGCCTGTGTCTTTATCACGCCTTCCTCTTGGCCTCACTGAAATGGCACATTAGCAGCCGCGTCTGATTGCAGCACAACCTGAGCCGGGGCCCCCGCTGCGTGGCCCCAGACCGTTATTAACGCGGGCCCGCCGGGGGCTGCAATTTGGGACTCAATTTGCCACAAAACTGTCCTCAGTGTCACCTTAGTAATCGGAGATCAGGTGACCCGTGATGCACACGGAGCTCAGAGATGGCCCCTCTCGGAGATGGCTGTCACACTGTCTGTCCCCGCAGCAAGAAGGAGCCAGTCGCTGGGTGTGAAGAGCGTGTCTCTGAGCCTCAGGAACAAAGCCGTGGCGATGCAGTGCCCCGCCCGCCGCCATGACGGGGCTCACGGGCTCGGAGCACAGCCCTCTTTGGAAAGCTTCTGGAGGCTTCTCAGAAACCACAGAGAGACCCGCACTCAGCCACTGGGCCCTTCCCGCCTTGGCAGGAGCCAGAGGGCTGACTGGCCCCAGTAGCAGATGGTGGCCACACACTGGGGGGGAGGACCCTAATTGAACCCACGGCGCCCCCCGTAGTGCACTGAGAAGCTGCAGGGCTGGCTTAACAACGTGGCCCCAAAAGTTCAAGGTTAAAATCTGAATCCTCCCACCAGGGAAAGAGCCTCAGCCAGACCAGGAGCCAGCGGAAGACGAGGAGCCTAGAGTCCAACTTGTAAACATCAACGCAGCTCGTCAAGAACCAGGAACCGAAGGGGAGGCCGTGCTCACCCTTACAACCCGACCCTGGGTTACCACGGAGCGGAGTTCTTATGAAATGTTTTTAAAATGTCCTCCAGAGGAACCCAGGGCAACGGATGAAAGCAAAGCCCCCTCTCCCCCCAAAAAAATGACAAACTGAGAGATTAAATATGACAAATGGAAAGCTTTCTAAGATATAAAACACTAAGATAAAGAAAGATGTAAAGCCGAAACCGGTTTGGCTCAGTGGATAGTGCGTCGGCCTGCGGACTGAAAGGTCCCAGGTTCGATTCCAGTCAAGGGCATGTACCTTGGTTGCGGGCACATCCCCAGTAGGGGGTGTGCAGGAGGCAGCTGATCGATGATTCTCTCCATCGATGTTTCTCTCTGTCCCTCTCTCTTCCTCTCTGTAAAAAATCAATAAAATATATTCAAAAAAAGAAAAAAGAAAAAGAAAGATGTAAAAAGACCCACAGAAAAACAGACAGGGATCCTGTAAAGAGAGTCCACGAAAAGACAGACAGATGGGTTTTCAATATTGGGAGACATCCAGTTTCCCTCATAGGAAGAATGCAAATGTAAACTAGATGGGGATACTGATTTTTATCAATTCACTCAACAAAAAATCCAGAATTAACCCGCCCACTGTGTTGATAAGGCTGCAGAAACAGGCAGGCATTGCTACACCACAGCCCCGGGTCACCTTGGCCACAACCAGTTAAGACACACTTGCCCTTGGGCTCAGCAATCCCACTTCCAGCGAGCCACCCTGAAGACTCAGCTCCAGGGCCACAAACAAAGAACATGTTCACAGGGTCTTCTGATGTGAGGCAGGGAAGAGAGAGACTGCAGAAAGGTGGGTGAGGAGGTCTGGGCAGTGGCTGCGGAGTGAGGCGCTGGGGGCCTGCAAAGAGGAATAAAAGGGCTGAAACGGTTAAAAACACTTCGGAGGAGGAGGACAGATCTCATTCGCTGGAGGAGGAAGGGGTGTCAGGGTGGCAGTTGTGTGCTGCAGGGGCGGTAAGGGTGAGCAACCCACGAGGCCAGCGTTGGTGTGAGCACAGCTGTCCCTGCACCCAGGTCCTGGCGCTCACAGGTCTCACCAAGGTCACCGGCAGCTCCGCTGGATGGAGGGACTGGTCCATCCGTCACCCTGAGCACTTCCAGACCGCAGGCCCTGGAGGCTCGGTCTCCCTGCAGTAACCACCGGCCACGGGGTTTCCCACACTCCACGCACAATGCCAGGACCCCGCCCTCCCGTGGCCCCATGGGCGGCCCGGGTACATGGATCATCACTCCTGATGTCAGGACAGAACGGAGGGGGCGCCTGTGGGCATCCCTTCTGGACCCACAGGACAGCCTGCCTGGGCGCTGCGGGGCAGGCTGGCCCATCGGGGAGGCTGGCGCTGCCCGGCCGGTGCGTGGTCTCCGGGCATCTCCATGGGCACTGGGCATCCGGCTGTCCATCCAGCCTGGCGTGTTCATTCTCAGTGTAACGTGCTCATCCCCGAGGAGCACTGATGGCGCTGGCTGCTGATGTGCGGAGACGTGTTAGATCACGTTCTCCTCCTGTCCCGCTCCTCCGGGACGACCTGTGGCTGAGGGCCGGGATGTGGTCCCGCTGCTGAGATGTTTGCCTCCTGTTGGCCGTGGTACACGCAGCCCTCCCTCGGAAGGGCCTTTCTCCAAAGGCGGGTCGGGGGCAGGGGGTGCTGAGGGTTTAAACGCCTGTCACACCCTCTCCAGGAGGCACAAGGCAGATCTCAACGCCCAGGTTCACCCTGACTGCTGGATTTCACCCCCAAAACAGCCAGCACGGGCTCCGTCCACGAAGTGGGGCCACCCTGCTCCTGCGAGGACGTGTCCTTTCCTCGTGGACTTACCTGAGGAACAGAAGCTGCCGCCGTGTGCCGGAGAGACGGCAGGTCTGCTTTCCATCCGGTGAAGGAACCAGAAGGCACGTTGAAGGCACGTTGTTCACCCGGAGGTGCTGTTCTAGAAAGGTCTATGGATTGCATCCAATTCCCTAATGTTTCCCGACGCCAGCATCTCTTCAGAGCTGCTGTGGCCACGGTCCCTCCTCCTGCAGGTCCACGCTCTTGCTAGGGGATTGTACAAAGGCGTGGCTGGCAGAGCCTGCGCCAAACCAGATCCTCCCGCCGGCCGCCGGCACGTGAATGGAGCTCCTTCATGCCGAGCTGGCGTCGCTGGCCGCGCCCTGAAGGCCACGGGCACCGGTGCTCCGCCCCACGGTGTGCGCTGGAGGACGAGGCAGGTCTTCTTCAGCCTCTGGCTCCTTTGTCCCGAAAACAGCCACGGTCACATACCTTCGCAGAACTGGTGAACTGCTCTGTCAGTCCAGGTCCCCTGTTACTGTGGTCGGCAAACTGCAGCTTGAGAGCCACATGTGGCTCTTTGGCCCCTTGAGTGTGGCTCTTCCACAAAACACCACGGCCTGGGCGAGTCTATTTTTGAGGAAGTGGCGTTAGAAGAAGTTAAAGTTTAAAAATGAGGCTCTCCAGAGGAATTTCAGTCCTTGTGCTGTTGGTATTTGGCTCTGTGGACTGATGAGTTTGCAGACCACTGCCCTGGTACATCAGGAGGAGTCCCTGCACCGGGCTCCAGGCCTGTCCTTCCTTAGCAAACGGGCTCCACATGCCGCCCTCGCCATGCTCCTGGTATGAGAATGGTGGGCCTGGGGGGTGCCTGGCACCCGGGGGTGTGGCTGGAGCAGCAGCAGCCGGAGAAGGCTGCGGGCCGAGCACGATCAGCCAGGGTGACGCCCAGTGGGCAGCGAGGACACTGCCGCTTCCTTGGAGGCAGAAAGAGGCTATTCCTCTGCTGACCGACGCCCAGGTGCAGTCACGGCAGCCACGGCAGCCACGTGGCTGGAGGACTCGCCAGCCCGGGAGGGTGGGAGGGCCCTGTAGAGAGGCCAGGGGGGCCGTCTGGGTTCTGCTGTCAGCCCCCGCGTCTCGCTGCCTTGCTCTTTTCGTGAAAAGCAGGTGTGGAAGGCGGGCTTGCTGAGAGCCTTCACGCTGCAGGCAGGCCACGCCCAGGTGCTGTCACGCGGCAGCCACGTGGCTGGAGAGTGAGGCCTGTGGCTGTCATCACGGCGTCTCCTCTCAGCAGAGAAGCTACGCCGCTCGTGCAATCGCAGGCCCAGAGAATAATTTCCCTCTCGTTCCCAGTGCAGGAGGAGAAAGGTTTCTGTATTGTCTACAGCCGGAAGGCGGGAAAGCAGGCCATCGAATAAGGACGGGGAGAGGGACAGGGAGGAAGCCGAGGATTTGAACCGGAACGCTGGGCCCCAGCTCCCTGCAGGCCAAGGGCACTTCATGCTGAGCACGTCACATGCTCGGACCACAGGCCGAGACCTGGGGGAAGTCCCTGAGAACAGGTGTGACACACGCAGGCTCACAAAGGGCCGAGAATGCGAATCACCGCAGAGCCTCGGCCATCAGGAAACACACTGTTCTCCGCACGAAGACTCCCCGTCCTTCCCAGTAACTAACACGCCCTCTTCCTGGGACTCGGATGGCATGTCCTGTGCTGGAGTCGGCTTTGGAGGTGAGTGATGGACACAGAGCCCTGAACACACACAGGAAAGACAGCGCCTGAACATGCTCGGGCCGAGGGGCGGCCCGCGGGGAGCACGGGGAGGACGCTGACGTTTACTTATCCTCCCGAAGCCGTGAGGTGACCAGATCGTCCCGCTTTTGGCGGGACAGTCCAGATTTCTAACAATGTTTCCCGCATCCCGAGGCGTTTTAAAAAAGTCCTGATTTTTGGAAAGAATCTTTGCAATCTTTCCAAAAATTGGGACTTTTTTTAAAACGCCGCGGGACGCGGGAAACATTGTTAGAAATCTGGACTGTCCCGCCAAAAGCGGGTTGATCCGGTCACCTTACAGGACGTCCCAGGAGAACGCGGACACTCACCCTGCTCTGCGTTCCATGTGGTTTTCCACCATCAACGCCGAGATCTCAATGTGACAACGACCAGCGAGGGAGCGAAGGAAACAAGGACCAGATGGAGTTTTCAACCACGTTTCTTACGTTTATTATAATCGAGCTTCCCCACGGCGCCTGAGGCTGGTGGCCCGCACGCTGCGATCGGCCTCATTTACCTACAAACGCGGAGGCAGAGGCGGTGCCGGCGGGGCCACGGCGGGCGGGCAGAGCGGCGGCGGGAGGCGAGGGGCAGAGCGTCCTGCCCGCCGGCTCTCAGGACGCGCGGATGTTGGCGTCGCAGTCCTCCAGGAGCAGGATCAGGTCCTCCATCAGCTGGTGCTCCCGGCCGTGCGTCACCCTCATGATGTCGAACGCCTGGGGGAAGAGAAAGGAGATTAGATCCCGGAGAGGCGGCCCCTGCCCGCTCCTCCTTGCACCCCCAGGATGCCAGGGCCGTCTAGGTTCTGCCATCAGCCCCCGCGTCTCGCTGCCCTGCTCCTTGCGTGAAAAGCGGGGTGTGGAAGGCGGGCTCCCTGAGAATCTTCACGCTGCAGGCAGGCGTCTGTTACTGTGCTGCCTGGAAGGGACCAGGTGCTGGGAAGGCAAACCTGCTCATCCGGGCGTGCAGGCCGCTCTCCGGCCACGCTCCGGGGACGCCAGTGTGGCTGGTGAGCACACGGAGGCTAACAGGAGTGAGTGCGATGCCAGGTATTCAGGTTCAGGGTGAAACTGGGCTCCACACCTGAGCGTGGAGTTCATGTCTGCATGCGCAGCGAGCCCTCGTCCATGTGCACGGTGACAGCGACATACGTGCGTTTTCTCTGTTTCCTTCTCTGTCACATGATGCGTGGCTCTGGCACAGTAGCAATCTCTTCCTCCACCGTCTGGGCTCAGCCATCACCGAGTCGTGCCAGCTCTCCCTGCAGCCCGGGTCAGAGGGCTGGTGGGCTGGTTCCCATATCAGTGAGAGTCCCAGGGAGTGATGGCCCTGCGTTCCGACGACGCTGCTGTGTCCTCCTTCTCCCCTCTGGTGGGGAATAAGGTTCCGGAAACAAGGACGGGCTGGGACGCAGCCCTGGGTGAGGTGTCGGGTTGAGGTGGTAAGACGACAAGAGGGACCCCCGGGGGGGCTGGGAGCGGGGCGCTGAGTGCAGCTGGGGCAGAGGACCGATGAGAAGCCCCCACGGGAGGGGAGGTGACCTAAGAGCAGTGCGATGGACAGACAGTGACGCCCTTCCCAGAATGGGGGCGGGCAGGAGAGGAGGAGAGAGGTAGGGTCCAGTCATGTGCAAACACAGCTGTCTTCTGCATGTGAGGCCACGGGGCGGAGTGGACAGCGAGCTGGAAACCACTGCCGATGGGGGGCCTCGGCCGGGGCCTGGGCGCCCTGGGACCACAGTTCTGTGAGGCGAGGAGAGCCTGTCGTGGCCGCCGGCCTGAGGGGCTCTCAGTGAGGCCCCAGATTTTCACCCCGGAGACAATGAGGGGCGATCTCCCCCACATGAAGAGGTTACGAGAACCTCAGACCCCCCTGGGGCTCTGTGTCCTGCTCCGGCCTCCCACCTGCCACACAGGCGCCCGCCCAGAGGACGATGGGGCTTCATTTCCCGCAGCCGTAAACAGCAGATGTGGAAACATAAAGCCGGAGCCGCCTGTGCTGGGAAAAGCCATCTCCTCCATTAAATTACCTCCAACGGGAGCTTTCAGAAGGAGCCTGCGTGCCATGGGCCACGGAGGACGCATCCCGGGCCTCGGAGGGGTGCCGGCTCCCATGTCCCCCGGGAAACGGCAGCCGCGGCCGCATGGCGGGCAGGGCGCACGCTGGGACACGGAGGCCCCAGAACCGATGCCAATCTCACCCCGTCTTCCTCTTTAAGAAGTAATGTTAGAATTATGGCTGCATATTAAGTAAAATGAATTAAAGCAAATTAGGATTTAAAGCTGCAAACAATAAAGCTTTCTTATTAATTTTTAATACAGATATATTAAGCTTATCCAGGCTCTCACAGGCTCTCCGCCGTGAGCCTGAGGGGCCAATAAATGCCTTCCTGGAGCCCCATTTAAATATGGATGTGCAGACCGAGGGGAGCAACGCAGGAGCAATGAGGTCCTCTGAGTTCAGATCACAAGAGGGAAGATACCAGCATGTTTTCTCATTCTGCCAGTCTCAAGATGAGAATGGGGGAGGGGGGTAATGGGGAGAGGGATGAGGTGGGGGAAGGAGGGAGGGCAGGGGCATCCCACAGACCCACAGTCACTGAGCAGCTCCGGGCCACACCCAGCCTATTACAGGGGGTGGCAGAACCTTCTAGAGCCTTTAGTGCACAGGGTGGGCCCTCAGGGAGCGCTCTGGGACACGGGGAACGGAATCCCTGTGTGACAGGGAGATGTGGGCTGGGGGTCAGGGTGAGAGGGGACCTCAGAAAGGGGCTACAGGCCCGTCCATGACTTCTCCGGGGGAGGGGGGGAGCTGTGCTGTGTTTAACTCATCATTCGATCCAGTGAATATGTAGTGAGCTCCTGAGGGACCCCTAGGAAGCCCTGTCTCCTCCCTGAGACTCAGTTCCCCCAACTGAATAATGAAAATTAGACTCAAGAAATCATGGGGGCCAATAGGTCCCAGACACAGAGCGGGGCTTGTTTCCAAATATTGTCTCCGATTTCGGGTTCGATTGGACTGTGGTCAGGAAACCCCTGTGAATGACATGGCTCTGTGTGCGTGCGCGGACACCTGCTTTCTGGCCCAGAAGGTGCCTGTCAGAGTCTACGTTCAGGCCCCTGAGAAGCTGCGTGCTGCTGGGGGGGGGGAAGAGGGGGGTTCTGACACCCATCAGCAAGGTCCAGTGGCTGATGGAGGTGTGCGCTCTCCGACATCTGCTCACTTCCTATCCAGGTCTGTCTGTCTCGGACAGAGGGGTGCACATGTCCCTGCTGTAGCTACACGGCAGTCCGCAGTCTGATTCTGTGAGGGATTTCCCCCTACATTTTGCAACTGTTTGGTGCGGACACGTGGAAGATGGCTGTGCCTTCTGGGCAGGCTGACCCTGGCCTCATGGCACAGCATCTGTCAGATGGTCTTTGCTCTGCACTGACGCTATCGGATATTAATGCAGCCACCACAGCTTTCTTTAGGCTACATTTTCCCTAACCTTTTCCATCCCTCCCACATGCCTGTATCAAGTGTATTTAAGTGACTTTCCTAGAGACAGCATAGAGTTAGGCCAGTGGTATACATTCATTAGTCCACAGAGCCAAATATCAACAGTACAATGACTGGAATTTCTTTGGAGAGCCACATTTTTTAAACTTAAACTTCTTCTAACGCCACTTCTTCAAAATACTCGCCCAGGCCGTCGTCTTTTGTGGAAGAGCCACATTCAAGTGGCCAAAGAGCCGCATGTGGCTCTCGAGCCGCAGTTTGCTGAACAAGGAGTTAGGGCATTAAAAAAAATCTATCCTAATCTCTTTCAATTGGTGCATTAGACCATTTACTCTTTTTATAAAGGCCACACACATCATGTCGTTATTCATATATTAGGGTTTAAGTTTGCCATTTCGCTTTTTGTGCATTTTAGGTTTTCCTTTTCCGTGCATTTTCCTGTGGGTTACTTATATGTTTCTTTGTTTATCTTTGTTCTGTTTTTTAGAATCCCATCTTACGGTGCTTTTGAATGCATTCCTTTGTTTAGCTCGCTGGAGGGGCTGCTCTGGGTCTTCCGGTGAATATGAATCACGGAGCCCACTCTGGTGTCATCGCTGTGCCAGTTCAAGAGCTCCTTCCCCCTGTCCTTCACCCGCCGTTTGGAATAGAATCGTCCTGCATACGTCCACTGTGTCCAGCCAACCCTGCAGCAGGGAGCACGGAGACTCCTGCTTCATGTGTCAAACGTAATCTAGGAAACTCCTGAGGAGAAGGCAGCCCGTTCACTTCCCCGTATCTCTGCATCCACGTTCTTCCCTCCTCCCTAACGCTCCAGGATTCCTCCCTTTATCTTCTCCTTTCGGCTCAGGGAATCCTCTAGCATCCTCTGAGCACAGGCCTGCTGGCTCCACGGTCTCTGAGTTTGCCCTCCTCTGACAATGTCTGTCTCTCCCTTCGGTCCTGAAGGACCCATTGCTGAGTGTAGGGGTGTGTGTGGGGGAGCGGGGGGGGGGAGGGGAGGGGGGAGATTAACAGTTCTTTCCTTGCAGTCTGTGTAACAGGTGCCTCCATGGCTGCTGAGAGAACACCACTGCCATTTACACTGTTTTCCCTGCAGGCAGGACACCCGCTTTCCCCTGGCTGCTCTAAGCCACGGCCTGTGTCTCGTGTCCAGAAGGTGGGCTGTGATGCGTGGCCGTGTGGGCTCTTTGGTTTTCCTTGTTTGGGATCCACTCAGCTTCCTGAATCGGCAGTTTGTGTCCTTTGCCAGATGTTGGGCGTTTTCTGCCGTTATTTCTTTCATACAAAGCCTCTCTGCAGTAAAATACACACCGGCACAGCCGGGCTCGGCATCACCCCCAGGAGCTGTGCTCATCGGACAGTCACTCCGCCAGCCTCTGCCTCAGCCGTAACCGCTCCCCTTCTGTCTCTCTGCTCCGCCAGGAACTTCATGGACGTGGAACCATCAACGCGGGTCCTTGCGTGTCCGGCTCATTACTTCCCTTACACACGCTCACCCACAGCCTGTGTCAGGATTCCTCTCCTTTCTAAGGCTGAGCAACATCCCATCGACCACATCTCACATCTCGCTTATCCCTCGTCCATCCGTGAACATCTCCTTTGCTGAGCCCGTTCCTTTTCCGTTGGTTTTGAGGCTGTTGGCGTTGGCTCATCGAAGCCTCTTCGGATGGCTGCCCTCAGATCTGCCAGGTCCTTCTAATGTCCGTTACCTGGGAATTGGCAGATATCAATTCTTTTTCTTTGTCTCATTAAAACTGATCTTCCTGGTTCCTGGTCTGAGGAGTGACGTTCAGCTGAGCCTGCACATGCTGACATGCCACTGACTTGCTGTGTTTTGCTGAGACCCCGTTTTCGCCGCTTCCTCTGGCCCTGTGCCCGCAGGAGGAAGAGCTGCCACCTCGTTTCTCCAGGTGCAGGGGTCTCCGGGTCCCCACTGGCGCCCAGTTCCTGGTGGGTACACCTCTGCTTGCCTCTTGTGACAGGACTTAAACGCTATTTCCCCTTTTACTGACAGTCTCTTACTCACCTCCTTTCCTTAGTTTAGAGACGGACTCTGGGGACGAAGGTTCTGTGTGGAGTTCAGTGGGGAACACGCATCAGCGTCAGAGCTGGGGACTTAGGAACGAATCTTAGAAGGCGCGTTGACAACAGGCAGGTCATCTGCCTGCCCCCGTCCTTCCCGCCCCCAGCGGCCCCCTCAGTGTGCTGGCAGCCCCTGCAGGCTGTGGGCACGGAGGAGTCCATGGAGAGTCCTCCCGGCCCGATTCACCAGATGCTGTGTGTGTAGGTTTTCCTCTGGTGAGTCAGTGGTTCTCGTCAGATTCCCAGACAAGGATGTGACGGCAGAGGCAAGCATCAGGGCAGCAGGTTAGGAACGGGACAGACTGCCTGCTCAGGCTGCTCCCAGGGGCTGCCGTCTGGGTGCCCTGAGCCCACAGCGCCCGGCACGCTGCGCTGAGTTCCCGCAGGGCTCGCCGCTGACCCCAGGAGCGAGGGACAATGCCCGGACTGTGGCCTGTGCTCCCCAGTCAGGCCCAGGACAGAGATCAATGATCCTCCATGGGTAAGAAGCTCCGGAAAAATGTAACTCGAATGGAAAAACCGTGACAGCGCAGTAAGGAACGGACAAGCGGTTACTGAAGGGGAAGGAGTGGGGCTTTTCCCAACTTGACCTCCGCTAACAGGACTCTGACAAAGCCCCCGCCTGGCCCGGGGGCAGGGGAGGGGGAGATTGGCAGTGGGCAGAGCGCCCAGGAAACAGGCTCACCCACAGACAGCAGGATGGGGTCGCCTGCCCTGGAGGCCCAAGAAGTCAGATGAGTGGCTGGCAAAATTCTCTGAGAAATAATGGAAAGAAGGGGAAGCAGAAGCAGAGACCGGAGGAAGCGGGAGGGAGCCTGCCAGTGGGCTCGCCATGGCGCTGTGGTGCGGTGGGAGGGCTCTCTGCCTGGTGGGAAGGCCAGCGGAGCCCTGGCTCCCGAGCCATTTCTGGGCCTCATTGCTAGCGCCATATTCACTGCACTCCTCCTTCCTCTCCAATCCCAATCCCTCTTCCCTCCTCCTTCACAACGACCACTCCCCCAGCTCCAGGCACCTTGTATGGCATGGAGCGGGTTACCATGGTGCCCGCAAGGCCCCGCGTCCTGGGGGAGGTGGGCAGCAGGTACTCCCACACCCATGGACACGTATCTCTGGGGATAGTGAACAGGGCGGTGGGACCACAGGGACCAAAGAATGTTTGAGCTGGGCCTTAAAGGAGCAGTAGAATGGCAGTCCAGGGCGCGGCAGCCCAGGGGCCCCATGCACACTGGCTGTGGAGGCAGGGAGGCCTGAGGGAGGCCTGGAGGGGAGGCTGCAGACAAACGGATGGTAGAGGCTGGCCTGACAGGCAGCGGTTTGTGATGGTCTTTGAACTCAACATCACAAGACAAAACCTACAATTCAACTCTCCTTCAACCACATTCACATTGTCCAGTCTTCCCGGGTGTTTCCCAACTGTTGTTCTCCACACACAGCCACTCTTAAATCTATCAGCGAGTCCAAGATCAGCGTCCCTTCTAGACCCGGTTTGACTAGAAAAGGCGTAGGAAGAGAGGAAGTGGAACTCAATTAGGCCTTCTGATGGGGCACTGAGTGGGTAGCGGAAAGTGGGAGCTGGTGGGTTTTACACCAGTAGCTTAACCTCAACCACGACGGGCATGTTTATAGCACAGACATCAGTAACAACTGACTTGTTGTTGTCAGAGCTGGTTGCTCTACATGTATGGGCACGTGTGTGCGCACAGGTGTGAGTGTGTGCATGCAGACACGTTGAGGGAGAGCCACGGCGGCGAAGGGTACCCAGGCAGGGGGCGCGCCCCGGGCACTTACCAGCCTGAGGTTCTTCATTGCCTGCGGGAACATGCCCTGGTGCAACTGCAGCTTGCCCACCTTCATCACCTGCACGCCGCGAACGGGGTGGCAGCCCGGGAAGAAGATCCTGAAAGAAACCATAGGGCACACGGTCAGCGGCTCCCTCCTCTGCGGCCGGCATTGCACAGGAGCCCACGTGGGTGAGAGCCACGTGAGCCAAAGACATGCCAGAGGGAGCCCGGGAACCAGAGCCACACGAACCAGAGCCACACAAGCTGGAGCCACGTGAGCCGGAGCCACGTGAGTGGGAGCCATGCCAGCTGTGGCCGCTCACAAGCCCCCAGAGGAAATGAGTGACCCTGAGGGCACAGGCGCAGGGCGGCTCCTGCTCCCAGGATGCTGGGCATTCAGAAGACACCTGGGCGCGACAGCTTATGTGGGAAAGGCAGTCGAGCATCGTCATGGATCAGCCCAAGGGGGAGACCCAGTGACAGGGCCAGATTCGAATCCAACACTTTGCTGGCTCCCTGTCCACCCAACCACCAGCCCCATTAGGATCACCATTTTCTATCGCTAATGTGTGTATCTGTCTTTTAGGAAAGACGTGGAGAGGCGGAGATGAAGGGAGGGAGACAGGACATGAGTGTGGCTCACAGAGCATCCGTGGGACTTGCACTGCAGAAATTTAATTAGACAGAAATGCTGGTCTTCTCCAGCCTCCAGCCAGACAGATACCGATACGGATACTAGAGGTCATGTGTGCTCGCAGGCCGCTGAGGTGACACAAAGCAACTTGCACAAGACAGCGGCGCCCCCAGCCTCTGCCCTGCCTCTCTCCCGCCCTTCTCCTCCTCATCTCTCTCCAGATCCTGCCCGCCTGCCTTCCCTGAGCCACACCCTCCCCCCATCATCAGCTCTCCTCACTCTTTCAGATCAGTGCTCACTGTCAGAACCCATGACGCAGAAGCATCTGATTAGATGCTGTTTACACATTCTTATCTTACACACCCATGTGTGTGTGTGTGTGTGTGTGTGTGTGTGTATGTGTGTATTTTCCCCCAAAGGCTGTTCTACGGAATTCTGTTTATGTCATTGTCCTTGGCTTGCTCTCAAACACTGATGGGAGAGTGCTATGTGCATAGGGCGTTACAACCCTCCCCCTCCCTCCCAGACCCTCCCCCTCTCTCTCCCGGGAATGCTTGTTGAGCACCTACAATTAGCCAAGCTCTCTTCCAGGTGCTGGGTGCTGCTCCAGGCAAGCGTTACCTCAGCTAATCCTCAGAACAGTGTGAGGTAAACATCGTCACCCCAGTTTTATACGAGAAAACTGCAGCCCATGCACGTTAAATAAATACCCTGCATCCCACAACCAGCACAGGGCAAGGCTGGCCGTCCTTAACTCCACACTGCGATGACGGCCGTCAGCAGCCAGAGCTCTCTCTGTAAGCAGACCTGGTAGATGGAGATGCCAATTCTTCACCCAAGCAGACTCCGGGAATCGGCTTATTCATAATGGCCAACAGGCACAATCCTGCCCAGAGGTGGAGTCAATCGCTGTCAGCTCCCAGGCCTGGCTCTGCTCTAAAGTGGTTCCAGCTCCCAGCACTCCCTCTGGGTCCACCTGCACCCTAAAATTCTGGGGGTGCTTTGAGAACAAGCTACGCGGAGGGCAGGGAACGCGCCTGCCCCAGTCTGGAAGGCCCTCACGGCCCTCTGAAAGGGTGGGACAAGGACGAAGGCGGGGCCAGGACACAGGAGCCTGGTCCCTGTCCTTGTGACTCCGGACAAAGTTCTTGACCCACTGGGACCGGACAGTCCCACCCGCCTCGAGGGGCTGCAGCTAGATCACCCTGAGGCCCCGCTGGCTCAGAAGCTCTGTGCTCTGCCCCTGCTTAGACACAGGAGGCTGGCCTCGGCGATCTGTGGCCCTCCGCCCCCGCCCTCCCAGCAGCGGCAGACAGGAGGGAAAGGCCTGAGTGCTCAGAGTTCCCAGGCTGGCAGGGAAGCCGTGTGGCTTATAGAAACGACTCCTCTCTCCTCGGTATCTGATCCACGGGCCCTAATTTAATGGGGACATTCCGGAACGGCACGCCAGGACCGCCAGCTGCGACATGAAGGATGGTCATCCGGGCACAGCTCCACCATGAATGACTTGCCATATGCTCGAGTGCTGTCGGCTGCTGGTACGTCGAGCTGAGCAGGGAGCGATGCCAGGACAAAGCATCGCCGGCAAACAGCCCAGCGCACACGAGGTTTTCAGACCCGCTGCCGGCCGCTGCCGAACCCCGACCGCTCCCGGTCTGCTGCTCAGGCCGACAGCGGACTCGCCAACCTATAGGCCACGTAGTCAACACCCCTCGGGGCCTGTGGTGGCATCTGAAGAAGGTCCCAGGGTTGGGGGTGGCTCTACAGGACTTCCTCCGAGTGCGGGGATAGCACACAGGAGACAGCTGGCGACCCAAACACCACGCCTGGACACGGGCAGGCTCAGTGCCCTTATACAACCAGAGGACAGCTAGGGAGCCTCCTGGGAGTACTGGGATTTGGTGAGGGTTCTAGAGAACTGATTCATTTTTTTCTTGAACTAACAAAGATGGACGGGAAGATGACAAACTCACACAAACCCATCCGTTTAAAGGTTTTCAAAGGTTGACATGCCTGATGGGACGCCAGCACAGGAGAGGCAGGGAAGAGGTGGAGGGAGACGTTGTCCCGTTGTGCCCTCCGAGCCCTGGATCCAGCTGTGCCTGAAGCTGGACTCCTGGACCTTCCAGGTACCTGAGCCCACAGACTTCTTCCTGTGACAACACGCTCTCACTCCCACACACACGGTGACAGGTATGATATACGAACAAGCCTATGAAGCTGGACAAACTGTCTCCAAATGCTCAACGGAAGCACGAGAAGCCAGATCCATTGCCTATGAAAATTCCCAAAAGCCTAGGTTTCTGATTCCCAAATCCAAGGGGTTGAGGTCCAGGTAGCCACAGAGATGAGCTGTTTCTCTAAGATTCCGGGGGTAAAGGAACGTGTTTCTCATCCAAAGAGGAGGGAGAAGAGAGAAGCTCCCCATTTCCACAGCGTGCTGGTGCCCAGCAGAGCTGAGGGTGGACTCAGCCAGTTCAGAACCACATCCTCAGGATGTGAGCCAGCGGTAGCTCACCCCTCGCCACAGGCAAGAAGCTGTGAGCACCATAAAACTGCACCAATGAGAGCCAAGACTGAACTGAAATGACCACACTGTTATTAAGACTAAAATTATTAGAATCTCCTCCTCCTATTTCAATAATAGAAACCTCAGCCTCAAATTCAGTGTTTCCAATCGGCGCTGCCTGTTTTCCGAACCGGCTAGACAGTTGCTGAAGGGCGAGGCACAAAGCAATGGCCATCTGCTCCTCCGTGGCTCGAGCTTCCTGCTTACAGTCTGCTCTGATAATGGATCTGTTTGGGGCAAACAGAGATTGATTTTAATTTCCTGCCAAAATGTGTGGCGTGGGCAAAGGAGAAGTTGGAACCAAGAGATATGCCGATTTTTCCATGGTTTTATCTGAAGATCAGTCGTCAGCGTTCACCGCGTCCGTGGCTGCAGACAAACGGAGGAACACGGCGTGCTGTGCCCGACCCAGCGGTGATGCATCGCGCATTGTCCGGGAGCTAACGGGAGATGGAGTCGCCGCCGTCTCACCGGGCCAATGCCTGCAGAACCCAGGCACGGGCACAGGGTGAGGAGCCCGCCACTGGGACTGTAACCTAATTCCCCTCCTGAGTACGCAGCTCCTCACCCTGTGCCCGCACCTGGGTTCTGCAGGCATTGGCCCGGTGAGACGGCGGCGATTCCATCTCCCGATCCTTCTCGGGACAGAAGGATCAAGAACCAGAGATCATCTTCTTCCCGGCCCTCACCTCACTGGTCTGGGCGTTCCTTCCACCCCGCAGCCATCTATCAGAGCCCGAGCCTCCCCCAGCCCTGGAACGGCGGCTGCGAGGGTGATGGTGGGGAATAAGACCGACTTTCAAGCTGTTCGCCATCTTTGCTCTTCACGGAAAGGATCGCAGGAAGGGAAGAAGAGGAGGCACCCTAGTCCAGGAGGTGCTAGGAAGTACTCTAAACGCACTCCCAGTGGGGATGGAAAATTAAAACCTAGCAAAACAGAGAATGCTGTGCTCTGCCCGTCGATCAGTACCCTGCACGTTAGCAGTGAATGCTTACTGAGTGATCGCTTTGTGCCAGGCTTCTTGCTAAGACTTATCTCCTTTGGTCCTTATTGCAATCCTATGAGACAGGCACTGCTAATCAACCCACTGCACAGATGGGAAAGTGGAGGCTCAGGGGAATTAAAAACCTCGTGTTTAGAACAAGAGACCTCAGGGCGATGGAGCTGCAGCACACACCCTGCGCTAATATGGTCCCAAACGTACACCCTCCAGTGTGGTATTTCTCGAGATGAATTTTCAAAATGGGTTAGAAAAAGAAAAAGAAAACAAAGGCAGTAGTCAGAAATGGATCTGACTGGTGACAGGGCCTCCGCTAGCAATCATGAGGGGGTGTGGTCGGGCTGTTCTGCAGGAGTTGGGCCCCTCCCACTGGTGCCCCAGTGTCTGATGGCGCAGGTGGCAGGGCTGCGGGGAAGTGGGGCACACTCTGCTCTACGGGCACTGCAGGGGGCAGCGGGCATCACCATGTCCAGCCAGGGCCACTGAGCATAGAGACAGGGAGCTGACCAGGTCTCTGAGGGGACACTGGCCTGAGAGCCACGTCAAGAAATGACTTTCCAGCACAGCCGTAAAGTGCAGACATTCTTACAACAAGGGTGGGAAAGGTGGGAGAGGAAGAGGGAGAGAAAGCATTTGGCAAAGGCCAAAAAAACCAACCAAGGCAGCCTCCCAATTTCTAGCCAAATGCTGCTCCCGGCACCCTGGTGAGCTCAGGCACGCACCCTGAATTGGTGCTCGAGGGGAGCAAGCCCAGCGGCAGGTACAGGCGCCGGCACACGGCCGTGAGAGCCATCACGACGGCTCAGAGCGGCCCGTCGTTCCTGGCCCCGGAAAAGCCAGATAGAACGGAAACGCGCATGAGTAACAGGATAACGCTTTACGCCTCCCCTCCTTCTTGGATACCCATCGGGC